CTGGAAAGTATAATGGCCATTGCAGGTCCTGTCCTGCCTCCCACCTCCAGGTCTTCTGGAAACACAAAGGGAGCTCAGCCTTTCTCACCACAGGCTTCCTGTGGGTCAGAGCACTTCAGAGAGGATTCTCCACAAACCCTATCAGCCTCTCTGGCAGCACTCAATGTACAGCTGTCACTCTGAGCCACAATCCCTTCCTAGTGAAATAAAATTAATGCCAAAAGAAAAAAAAACAAGTTGAAGAATGGGACTTTAACAATGAATTTATTGTAAAAACCAAGCCTTTAGCCAGACGAATTCTGACTGGCATGCTGCTGAGACACACAGCCTCTCATCAGCCACTTGCTCCACAAACACACAAGAGACACAAATCTCCAGAACCAACTTCCAGACATATCTTCAAACCACATCTTTAAATATTTTGATTCCCTATAGGCTGCAGCTGATTTGAAGCACAGATTGGGCCACTCCCCAGCATGGAGGCTGATACAGAAGGCACTTAACCTGGTCTGTGGAGTGAAGGAAGTCGCTGGCCATTCAAGAATTATGTGCCCCCTCTTCATCCGTCCCCACAGTCAAATTCTAGATGGAAACTATACATGTTTATTCTGCAGTGCCTGTGCTCAGGGAGGAGCAGCTGATGTCAGACTCATCCATACTGTTCATACACAGAATGTGCAGTACTGTCAGTTCTAGATTCTGTGGACCTATGTATAACTCAACTATTTAAACAGAAATCAGAAGGCCTGGCACAGTGGCTCACTCACTCCTGTAAACCTCGCACTCTGGGAGACTGAGGCAGGCGGATTGGCTGAGCCCAGGAGTTCGAGACCAGCCTTAGCTAAAGTGAGATCCCTGTCTCTAGTCTCAACTACTCAGGAGACTAAGGCTGAGGCAAAAGGATCTCTTCAGCCGAGGAGTTTGAGATTGCTGTGAGCTATGATGCACTCTACCAAGGGCAACAAAGTAAGACTCTGTTTCAAAAAATAAAATAAAACAAAAATAAACAGAAGCCAGAAACACAATCAGTTGCTCTGATAAGGGATTTAAAGCCCCTAAAAGCCAATCCTTTATAATGAACTGAATATGCATTTAACTTTTTTTTTTGGAGACAGAGTATGTCTCCCCTAGTAGAGTACAATGACATCATAGCTCACAGCAACCTCAGACTCTTGGGCTCAACCAATTCTCTTGCCTCAGCCTCCCGAGTAGCTGGGACTACAGGCACCTGCCACAACCCCTGACTACTTTTAGAGGCAAGGTCTCACTCTGGCTTAGGCTGGTTTGGAACTCATGAACTAAGGCAATCCACCAGCCTTGGCCTCCCAGAGTGCATTTCATTTAACTCTTTTAACTCCTTTCACGCATTCAAAACAACCTATAATTTTTTGGACTAAACATTCCAGTTTAAATATGGGGCAAGTGAACAGAAACAGATATTGTACAACTACATAAATGCAACCAATATCAGGTACAGAATATAGATCCCAACAACCATCATGAACCCAATCATAAATGCAAAGAGGCCTTTTTCTTCTGAGAGAAGAGAACAACTCAGAACACGTTCCTCATTTATTCTTTGAGAATATGCACCCTGCCTGTGATCTACCAGCTGGAGCCTAAACATACAACCTGTTCTCAATATTCAAATAGTTGGGTTTTTTGTTGGTTTTTTTGTTTGTTTTTTGAGATGGAGTCTCATCATATCGTTAGTAGAGTGCCATGTGGCAAAATGGCCTGAGGTAATGAAGAATGCAATTTAGTTATGGAAAAACGAGCTACTGAAAAGACCTGAGCAATCCATGTCTAAAACTTAAAGAGTTTCCACACTGGCACTTCCTCCCCAGCAAACTGCCCTTTGAACTTGCCTTCAAAACAACTGCACTGTGCACCCCCATCACCACCTGACATCATCCAGGCAGACATGGTACACACACATATATGGCCCTTAGCCCTTGCACCTGCTGGGGGAGTCATTTCTACACCCAGTGTCCCTCAGCAGCTACTGCATGCTCTCCTCACAGAACTGAAATATCACATGGAAGCCTGGCAAAGTCCATCTCCATGGAAAATGCTCTCTCCTCCAAGCCCATCATTCCAGAAGGAACTGGAGTTCCATTTCTGAAGTACTTCCCAGCTCATCCCATTTGTCCGACTACATCCTCCACCAGTGCTAATCACCTGCCCAGAAGCACTCATGCCCAGCTCAGGGGATGAGGGCACAGGCTGAAAAGGGGGACCCATCCACTTCTTTCCCCAAAGTTGTGGTGAAAGCAGCTTAGATTTGCCTTGAAGAGCTGCCCAAAGCCTGTTTTCAGGCCCCACATCTCTGCTGCTGGGTCCTCCTCACACAATACATGTCAGAAGAACAGAACCAACCTAAACTTCTACCTCTTAGGATCAGGACCTCAATTTGCCAGCTCTGGACTCAGCTTGGTTCCAGCTGTCAGGACATTTCCAGGGGCAAAAATACATTATGCTGTAGACTAGACCAGCCACATGAGAAGAAGCTCACAAGAGGGAGTGTGAAAATCAAAAGCTACATTTCTCTATGCTCTCTGCTTTTCTGATAACTTCCCCCAGGGATGTAGCCACCTTGCAAAAACAGAACCACCCTAGAATGTGCAAAGAGCCATTCAGCCTAACCCCCCAATTCTACCTTTAACAAATCGTTACACGTCTTTTTTTCCAAAGGGAGGATTCCAAGCCTCACCCATTCAGAAGCATCGGCCCTCTACAAAGGTCAACCAGAGCCTCTTCCCTAACAACTTTTTTCTGATAGCAGGAGGCTGAAACAGGCCCCAGGAGTCACAGAGTTCAGCCATCTGCCCACCACCCCCCCCCAGACAAATGATGTACTGTCTTTCCATATGAATACATCCCTCTTGCCTCCCGCACGGCATGGTCAACATGCTCAGGCCCAACCCCTGGGAAAACATCCTAGGCAGTGTCACCAAGGACTTCCTCATGCTGAGCTGCCTGGCAGATACTCCTCTCTGGGGTTCTTCACATAAGAGGAACAGTGTGACACTAGGGTCACTGCCAAATTGCCCTCTACTTAATTAATGAGGCAAGTACTTAACCTCTCTCCACCTCAGCTTCTGCCCCTATAAAACAGGGAGGCCATCTACCTTGCAACGTGGTGTGAAGATACCCAGCAACATGCCTGCCTTCAAGCAAGTCAGTACAGTAAAGGGCAGTGACAGCCTCTGGCCCACTTAGAATCAGACTGGGCTGGGCGCCCCCTGTTGGCTGCATACCTAAACAGACTGGGGATTAGGAACGAAGAGGGGGCTGCTACTCCAGTGCCCAGAGTGCCACCTTGAAGTCCAGGCACAAACCTATTTGAAATGTGAAATTCAGTCCTCTCATGAAAATCCAACATTGGTGCTGTCTCTGCTGTTACTGACAGAAAATATAGCACACACGTAAATGCTGGACAATCTAGATGATAAAGATGCAAAAGCCTAATTCCTCTCACTTTCTTATCTGGAACTCTATCCTCTCTTCTGTAAGTCATTTTTGCTCACTGGATTCCACTAAAAAGTTTCTTTGTGTGAAGAAAACCATATATGTCAAATGTCTGTCATGTGGAAGTGCAAAGGCCATGAGAAAATGTGTTCTTTTCCTCTTCCCACGACACTGTCAAATACACCCTATCATGCAAAGCAATATTGTGTGCAAGTCCACGTTACACACTTCACCGTGACCAACAGCCGCAGCCTCTGCTGAGGTTCACTAAGCAGCCTGTTTGTGTTTTTGCACCTGAGCCCTAGGCATAACCACATGCGTCTCAACAGTCAAAAGGCATCCCTTTCCCCTTTCACCATTTTTCTCAACTGATAGGTCCTTTTCTGAGTCTTTAGATTACTTACCACCCTCCCCGCCCCCCCCCCGCAGTTTTTGGCCAGGGCTGGGTTTGAACCTGCCACCTTCAGCATATGGGGCTAGCGCCCTACTCCTTTGAGCCATAGGCACCACCCTTACCACCCATCTTTATAAAGCAGGGTTCTCAACTTTCAGCCCATAGATGAGCTGAAGGTTTAAGAGTCCCCTGAAGTAGTTTAAAAATTCAGTGTAGCTGCATGCTTTTCTCAGAAGGCCCAGACCTTTCCTCAGATTCTCAAAGGTGCTCATGCCCTCCCCCCAAAAGATTAAGAACTGCTACCACAGACCCACATTATGAAAAATAAGAAGTAAATTTCTTAAGTCTTTCTTCATTGAAGGCATCACATACAAGGTGTAAGTTCTTAAACCACCATCCCAAACTCCACAACTGAATGGGGTGAAAACATAAAAACGCTAGAGATACTTTCAGCAACAGCGAAAAAACATACATCAGTGATACTTTTAGCAAAACATTTACCCCAGTAAGTGGTTTGTTTTGGTCTTTTCTCCTAAAATCCCTACCTGTCAACCTCACTTTCCTGAGTAATGCTTTCAAGCCCGCCCTCCCAGGGGCTTCCCACAAAACTGACCAGACCCACAAGGCAGGAAAAGCACCCAAATGCCCAATCGCCGGGCGGTTAAAGGAGTTTACCAGATCACGCTAATAAAGTACTTGGAAACGGAGCCCAGGAGCATCAGGCGCTTTCAGCGAAAACTCGCACCTTCTGCTCCTCTTGCAGGCAGAGGCACTGGGATCCCGTTTCAGATGGAGGCCCAGGGCGGTTCCTCCGCAGATATAACCGAAAAGTAACCTCGCAGGCTCGGCCCCAGACTGCGCCAAGCAGAAAACAAACTTTCCAGACACTTCCACCCCGCCTGGCTGGGTGACACCACCCTGGCCCTCCCCGCCCGCCACGCGCCTGTCAGCGCCCCCGGCCGAGCAGACAACCGCCGCAGCCCGGGTCTGGGTTCCCCGCGGTAGCCGAGCGAAGGCTCCGGCCTGCGCCCGCAGTCTACGGCAGGGCCTCACGGTAACAGGTGAGGCGCCGCCCGGCCCTCGGGACCCCAAGCTGCCCTGTCTCGCCGGACCTGGGAGGCCGCCGCGCACTCACCAGCTGGCTGGTAGTCCTGGCCATGGGCCCCGAATCGGCGCGGGTGCCTCCCCCGCAGCGCTGCGAAGCTCAGCGCCTCCTCAGCGTCTTCCTCCCCGCAGCAGAGCCCCAGCAATGGCCGACTTCATCCTGCGCCCGCCCAGCCGCCAGCCACCCGCCACCCGCAGCCCTCGGCGCAGCCCCGCCCCCGCTCGACGCCAGGCGGGACTTCCGCTACGCGACCGCCACCGTCTGCGTCCATTGGCCGCACCCGTAGTCGCTCCGCCGCGGCCCCGAGCTGCATTTCCGGGTTGGAATCCAGCAGGCGGGAGCGACACGGCCCCCCCGGAAGGGGGACCCCGCGCGAGCCAATCCCCGGGCCCGCGGGGCGGGACCGGGCGGGGCGGGGGGCGAGCTGTCATCCCGGGCTGGCAGACGGGGAAACTGAGGATTAGAGGGGTCGCCAAGGTCACGCCCGCTGCAGCGGCTGGGCTGGGCTGGGCTCGGACCCTAGGCCTGGCCTCCAGAGCCAGCCCTATGAAAACGCCAGGACACGCAGCATTACTAGTTTCACAGCTAACAAGCATTCGCGGAAGGAAATTTCGGCTATAAAGTCACATTTATAGAAAACAAGACCGTTCTATCACTGTTATACTGTTCATAGTCCCGGAGACACTCTCAGAACTTTTGTCTTTGCCTATAAATGTTTGTGTGGATTATTTTCTTTTCTTTGTTGTATTAAATGTTGATGTTGGTGCTGGAGGTTTTAAATTGTAGTAAAATACACATAAAGGCCGGGCGCAGTGGCTCATGCCTGTAATCCTGGCACTCTGGGAGGCAGAGGCGAGTGGATTGCCTAAGCTCACAGGTTCGAGACCAGCCTGAGCAAGAGCGAGACCCCCGTCTTTAAAAATACCCAGGCGTTGTGGCAGACACGGGCACCTGTAGTCCCAGCTACTCGGGAGGCTGAAGCAAGACAATGGCTGGAGCCCAGGAGATTGAGATTGCTGTGTTCTATTGCCAGGGCATTTTACCAAGGGCAACAAAATGAGACTCTGTCAAAAAAAAAAAAAAAAAAAAATTTACCACCTTAGGCTCAGCGCCCGTAGCTCACTGGTTAGGGCGCCAGCCACATACACCAGGGCTGGCAGGTCCGAACCGGGCCCTGGCCTGCTAAACAGTGACCACTGCAACAAAAAAATAACCAGGCATTGTGGCAGGCACCTGTAGTCCCAGCTACATGGGAAGCTGAGGCAAGAGAATCACTTAAGCCCAAGAGTTTGAGATTGCTGTGAGCTGTGACACTGCAACACTCTACTGAGGGCAATATAGTGAGACTCTGTCTTTAAAAAAAAAAATTGCCCCCTTAACCAATTTTAAGTGTATAATTCAGTGACATTATATTCATATTATTGTGCGTTGCTAATGTTTTAAACAAAATTAGGATCGTCTTTGTTATCTGACAGTTTGTACATTTTTGAATAGCCCTTTTTTAATTTCCAGGAGTAATATATCTTTATTATAAAAAATAAAAACTTAGTAGAGAGAAGAATAAATGAATCCATAATCCCAGGTGAACGGAATGATGTGCTTTTTTTGTTTTGAGACAGAGTCTCAAGCTGTCATCCTGGGTAGAGTGCCCTGGCATCATAGCTCACAGCAACCTCCAACTTTTGGGCTCAAGCAATCCTCTTGCCTCAGTTTTCCTATTTTTAGTAGAGACGGGGTCTCGCTTTTTGCTCAGACTGGTCTGGAACCAGTGAGCCCAAACTATCCACCTACCTCGGCCTCCCAGAGTGCTAGAATTACAGGTGTGAGCCACCACACCAAGCATAATGAATTGTTGAATAGCAGTAATAGCCATTAACATTTATTCACCACCACTAAGTGAGGCATTCTCATGCCTAATCTCATTTACTGTAAACTAGAATCCCTGCTATTGTTCCCCCACTTTTCAGATGAGGAAACTAAGGCACAGAGCAATTCTGTAACTTGTCCAAGAAACTGCAATTCCAGGACAGACATGTGTTAGAACCTGTACATAAGGCTCGGCGCCTATAGCTCAACCGGCTAAGGCGCCAGCCACGTACACCTAAGGTGGCGGGCTCGAATCCCCAGCCCGG